GAATTCACTGGCAACACTTCTCTGAAAACGGCTGCCATTATTGTCTTAAATGTTTCACAACAAATAAAAGTTTTTTTGTTTTTTTTTAACTACAAGAAGCCGCCCACAGCTGCTTCCTCTGGCGGAAGCATCCTCCCAAACAAAACCTCACACAGCTGTTTTGTGCAATGATTTATGATTTACATGTTGATTTAATTTGCCTCCTACATTGCAGGACCTGCGATYTGAATAGTTTGCACACGTACATTGCAATGACGARYTTCAAAAGATTTATCCTGCAGCCCTACTTGATAGTYTTGTAATAAATGCTAACTCTGTAGAAAACTGAACTGTGTGAATCCACGAGTCATGTTGAATTGATCATGTACGGYTTTGTGTTGCTCTCACGTAGAACTTCTCGAAGAACATTTTTGCCATCCTTCAGTCTGTGAAAGCCAGAGAAGAAGGTCGAGCACCAGAGCAGAGACCAGCACAGAACACTACCCAAGTGGTAAAAATAACACCCACTTTAATGAAAACATCAGATGTTTTTAATATTCAGAAGTTATTACATGTTCACACGAATTCAGTCAAAATAAATGGTATTTATTTACATTTATGTACAGCCATTTTGATCTAAATAGTTAAACGGAATAATCTTTGTTGGCTAATAAGCATCTAGTAAAAATAATTTGTCTTTARGTCGATTCCAGGACCCGTCCCTCAGAAACAAGCAGCCGGTCCCAGCTGCCTACAACAGATACGTTCAGGAACAGTTCAATAAGAAAGAAGGTGAGTTTCTGCTAAAGTTCTGCCAGGTGTGATCTGGGTCAAAGTTAAGTAATACATGAGATACACAAACAGTATTCTGTAAATTAGGCRGTGTTCAGACCTGGTCTAATGTCTGTCCTGTGTGAGGTGATCACATTTGGATGGTGTTAAACAGGGCCGGAGTGGGAAAACTTTTCAGCCCGGGAGTTTAATGGCCAAGACCGGTCCGATTTTTGTACTTATAAAAATTTAGGCAAAGGTGTAGCACTAGCATGTAACATTTTTGTATTTTGTATTCACCGATCAAAACCTGCCTCTTCACACTTCATAAACAACAAAGTAAATGTTTCAGCTCTGGTGCAATAATGTGTACTCAATCACACCTATATGATCACACSTATATGATGTTCACCTGCATTATACTATGTACTGTACCAACTCTTTAAACTCACCAGGAGTTCAGTTTGAATCAACTAGTTTCATAGAACACAGTTCAGTTCTGTAGCACACAGGTGCTGCACTACAGGTGTTTTGGTTTATTCTCTTTAATGTTAAGCAATGAGCATCAGAAGCATTGTAATGTATGTGAGGGGGCATGGGGGGGTCTGGGGGTCCTCCACCAGAAAATTTTGAAACTAGTAGATGCAGTTTCCTGCATTCTGGTGTATTTTACAGGTTCCTAAACATATTTTTACCTACATTAAAAACACTTGATTAAATAACTAAATTAGAGACAGATTCTAGTTGAATCCTCCTGTTTTTAAACTCACTGCTGTMGRTCAGATAATGAAATTAAGGTGACAATTTATCCCAAACAATGACTTTAGAGGAGAATTTTACTTTATATTCTTTGTTCTTGATTTAGTTTTATTTGTAACATGTCATTGTGCCAAGCAACTGCATGTTTTAAAGTATTAACTACACAATGAACTGATCATTTATTTTTCTGATTAAGTGACAGGTCTGCTCATAACAAACTGACATGACATCATGC